CAAGCAGGAATGGCAGGCAGAGGGAGAAAGCAGGCTCCCCGTCGAGCAGGGAGCCTGATGCAGGACTCGAGCCCAGGACACTGGGATCATGACCTGAGCTGAAGGCAGATGCTTAACCGACTGAGCCACCCAGGCGCCCCCCCTTTCCCTCTCTTAGCTATCATTACAGTGAATGAAATAGATATGACAGCCAGAAAGGGTACTCTGCTCTTTCCTACTCCCCAAGGTGATTGGGATGATGATTCAACCCTCACATAAATTGCAGAGCCCCAAACCTCAGGGACTGGCAGGCCAAGACTCAGTCTTATCAGTAGAGTAGAAATGGGGTAGGGGTGAAGGAGCAAGGGTTTGGAAAGCTCAGCACCTGGCTACATCTCCCACAGGGCCATGCGCATTTCCTACCTGCACAGTGATGGCGGCCTTCTTGGTCATAGTCTGGTACATGCCGATGAAGGCTACGTTGTTGTCTAGATCATATACAGGGCACTACAGAGTGAAGAGGGGAGAGGCGAATGGGCAGGAACCTGGGCCCTGGGCCCCCTCTTTAGCAGCCCTGCTACCCGCTGGTGGAGAGCAAGAAAGGGCAGGCAACTTACCAGGACATCCTGGATGGAGATGACTGAGCAGGGGAAGGCCTTGTTGGAGGTCACCTTGACAATCACCGAGTCCACTCCCTCCGGGAACTCATACTTGAAGTACTGAGGGCACAGGAGGGTAGGGAGAGACCCATCTCATGAGGATGCTCTCTCTGTCCCTCTAGAAGGGAACAGTGTATATCCTCTCAGGGTTGGGCAGTGGAAGCTCTCTGGGGAGAAGGACCCTGACCCTAAGCAGCCCTATTACATCACTCCCCTCAACTTCAGGTGGGCACTCAGGATAGTGTCCCAAGAGGCAAGGAGGAGAGGTGGCGGCCAGACCCCATGCCTCTGCAAGTCCCACGCGGCCTGTCCCCTGACCACCTCAGGGCCAGAGTCCTTCCATGGCGAGGGGACAGCCAACCTGGGATTCCCAGCAGGGTCTGCCGACCACTCCCGCTCCCATGTAACCACTTCTCCTCCCAAGGGTCTGTTGCCTGACAAATCTTACCTGGGGCTGGGCTGCTGTGGTATTGAAGCTAAACTGCTCCCCAGTCCTGGAGGGAGAAAAGCCCCCCCATCACGGTCACTCCCTGAGCTTGGCAAGGAGGCCAGGCCCGTGGTCCCCTGGCATTGTCCTTGCACACCTGAGCACGAAGTCGTCCATCCGGCTGACCCGGAGCTGGTAGGTGGTGTTGACTAGTGACAGGGTGGACACATCCACGTAGAAGAACTGGACCTCGGACTCGTTCTTGGTGGGAGGCTGGCACAGCGTTCGCTCCACCTTTTGGTAGAGGTACTTCCGCTGATACCTATAGCCCAAAGCAGAAAGCCAGGACGTTACTACTGTCCCAGCCAGCAAGCCACGCCACAGGAGCAAGGCCCCAACTCCCCCACTCTGCTTTCCAGCTTCTCCCTACTCCTAACCCAGCTAGGCTGACAAGCTCCAAGTTGGCAGGCTTGCCACTGAGCAGCCCCTTGGTTCAGGGAACAGGGAAGAGAAACAGAGGGGCTCCTGGGTGGCCTGAGGCCCTGGATAAGGCCCTGGGTGAGGCTCTGGGCCTGGCCTGGCCGAGGCCTACCCCCCTCCCTGACCCCCAGGTCCTACTCACAGCCCTCGCAGGATTAGGGGCACCTGGAAGGACACCACAGCCTCCTTCTGGCGGACCACAAACAGCAAAGGAGCCCCCTTCTGCTTGTTCAGGACATTCACAGACACACGCACGCCTTCTGTCTGCAGAATGATATGGAAACACCCCTCAGTCAAGCCTGTAGGACTCCACCTCGGCTCCTCGGGACACATGGCTCCAGACACTGAGCCCTGCCTCCGTCATGCTGACCGCTTTGTTCCACCCCCCTCCCACCGCCCCCAGTCAGGCTGGGCAGCAAGCTATGCCCCTTCTTCTGCCACATCAGCCCCAGTCTCCAGGAGGGATTTGCCCCGAGTTAGAGAGGCTCTTAGAAGAGGCCCTGCCCTGGCTGGCAGGTATGTGCAGGGCAATGGGATCCACACAACTACAGGGCCTCACTTCCCAAAAGGAAACACAACGGAGACCTTGGACATCCGCAGGATACCCCATACCTATCCATGTTCTTGGGATATCCACGCATAGGGACACGGGGACACAGGAGAGCAAGAAGTGTTCCTCAATTTTCTTCCTTGTGAGCCAGGAAGCCCCCACTCAACAACTAATCTGGGGGCCAGAGCCAGTGGGGAGGTGGGGAAAGAGACTGTGGAAAGCTAAGAAAGCCAAGTTCTATCCTTAGCTCTGACCAAGGGCTAGAGCTGTGGAGAAGTCACTTCACACTTCTGAGCCTTGATATCCCCCTCTGTAAAATGCAGACACCCTCACCCTTGGCACATGGAGGAACATACACAGAACAGTGGGAGCTTAAGAAAATCAATCAATCAATCAATCCTGGTAATGCTTGGTATTGGGCTGCTGAGACCCAAGCCCTAGGGCAACATTTCCCTAAGGGGTAGAAGACCATAACTCTCAGGATGACCCCAGTTATGGGGGAGAAGGAAGAAAGGACTCCAAGCAGGAGGACATCAAACTTCAGAGAAACAGGCACTGAAGGCAGATCCTGGCCTGCCACAGAAGGCAGACCCTGCCCCATCCTGAAAAATAATCAGACTGCTACTATCAGCTCTACCCCTTCTTAGTAAACCCCATCATGGAGAGTGTTAGGCAGGAGACCACAGAGCCAGGCTGCAAGAATTCTCCAAATCTCAGCTCTGCCCAGGGTCTAGACTTCCTAGATCTAGCTCAATCAACATTTAACTCGTGGCTGGGGAAAAAATGAAAGAGAAAGTCAGGGTGAGGTAGATTCCTCATTGGACAGAAACTTCCTCTCTCCTCCCATCCCCCTTGGAGTTGGTCTTATCTCCACCACCTTCCACTTACAAGGCCAGCTGGCTTTCTAAGGCAGAAAGAGAGCTGGGAAGTCCTGCATTCATCTCCCTGGGGAGGCTCAGCTATAACTTGGCTGGGCAGAGCCTTTCAGTCGGCCTGTCTCATCTCCTTGGGGTTTTCTGGGCCAAGCCCAGTGGCTAGCCTGCTTCCCCCTGCACCCCGACGAGTGAGGCTATCAGATTTGGGGTGTTGGACCAGCCCTGCTCAGACCACAGCTGGTGGAAAGGAGGGGGTCAAAGAGAAGATGGAAAGGAGACAACTTTAGAAACTGTCCAGTGGGAGCTTCAGAGAGACGCTGGTGGCAAAGCAAGGAGGACTGGTCAAGAGAGTCCAGTGCGGTTCTGGGAAAAGGAAACCGGGTGGGGTGTGGCGTTCATGGGCCTCCTAAAAGAGTAGAGGATTGACTGACTCGCGGAGCCCTGGTCCGCTCACCCACTCACCACCAACCCCCAGCCCAGCGCAGCCCAGCCCTCACCCGGTTTCGGGTCACAGTGTGGTTGAAGGTGTAGATGTTGACCAGCTCGCTGTTGACCTCATCCACGTAGGTGCGCTCAAACTCGGCGTCTTTCTGCGAGACGTTCTTGGGCCCCAGAACCCCCAGATGGCTCTCGACCGAGGCCACCAAGAGCGCCAAGAAGGGCAAGCCCAGAGCGAACATGGCCCCGGCAAGGCGGCGGTGGCGGCGGCAGCGGTTGTGGTGGGGACGGTGACAGGCGACAGAACACCTCCGGGACGGGTTGCGGCTCCGGCCGCAGCTTCCAGCATCTCACCAGGACCAGAACTTTAACCCCGGCCTGAGATTAGGAAACGTCTCCTCCCCGGAGCCGCAGAGACGCTCCTAGGGGGCCTGGCGAGCAGGGGCGGCGGGAGAGGGAGGGGAGGGTGTGGGGTACGGGCCAGCTCGCGAGGGGCAGAGCGCGGCCGGAGACCCCGCGGCCGCCGGCGGGGGCCGGGAGAGCCAGGGGGCGGCTGGTTGCTGGGAGCTTGGAGACGCCGGGGAAAGGGGAGGGAGGGACGGAAGCCGGCGGCGGGGGCGGCCGGGAAGGGAGGAGGGTCTGAGGGTGAGGAGCGTGATAAGTGGCAGCGACCCGACGCCGCGCGGCGCGGCGCGTTTCCTGGGGGCGCGGGCCCTTTAAGGGCGGGCGGCCGCCGCAGCCCCGGGGCTCCCAACTCCGGGGACTGTGCCGGGCCGCGAGGCGGTAAACAGCAGGGCTGCCGGCCCGCCCGCTGACGTCAGGGGAAACTGACACAGATTTAAAGGGCCAAGCCCCGGATTGGGCCTTAAAGGGGCCACAGCCCTCCAGCTGGAAGCCGCCTCGAACTCCTATCCTGCTACCACCTCCTCTTTCGTCATCCTACCCGTCTCTGGAAGCTCACTTTGGTTGGAATAGACGGATGTCTCCGTGAAGGATCTCCGAGTGTGGGATTCTTGTTGACAAAGTCTTCTTTGCTCAAACGTAAGGATCCACCTCCACCCTCACTGCCTTTACCACCAACATCCTCCATCCTTGGGCCATTAAGAAAGGAAGAACTCAATCAGGAAACAGGACGGGCGCCTTCCCGGCGGAGGGATGGCTGAGGCAAAACTACATACGGAACCTCTGTGTCCTCTTAGTTTCTACTGCAGCGGCCGCGAGGCTTCAGGGAGGCCTGGAAGCTTGCAGGGCTTTCTCCTCTTCTCTAAAGAGGCAGCTAAAAAGCTCATTGAGTTAGTGACTTTCAGTATAAATCGATGAAAACTTTTCTACAAAACATTTTGGCCCGTGTTTCAAGAAGTTTAAAGAGCTTTATACTCTTTGACAGAGTAATTTCACTTTTGGGACTCTATCCTAAGGAAATAAGAAATACAGGTTAAAAATGTGTAGGCAGGCGCCTGGGTGGTTCAGTCGGTTAAGCGACTGCCTTCAGCTCAAGTCATGATCCCAGCGTCCTGGGATCGAGTCCCATATCGGGCTCCCTGCTCTGCAGGCAGCCTCCTTCTCCCTCTCCCTCTGCCTGCTTCTCTGCCTGCTTGTGTTCTCTGTCAAATAAATAAATAAAATCTTAAAAAAAAAATGTGTAGGCAGTAATGCTTATTATTGCAATATTTGTAATATAAAGCACAAAGGAAACAGCCTAAATGTCCATAATGAGGGAATGGTTAAAGGTGCTATTCTCATGAAGCCATCGAAAATGATGCTTAAGACTTTGAGGAACATGTCAGCAGAGAAGTCACAATATGACACTGTATCAACAGTCTGGCTTCCAAATATGTAGGCATGCATAGAAAAGCGTTGAAAAATCTTTGAATTACAGATGATTTTTAAAATGGCATGTATCATTTTCCTCTAATTCCAAAAGTATAGAAAAGTACCAAAAAGAGAAGAAAAATCACTGGACTGTGGATGGTTTCAAAACGTTTTTATACCTTTTAAAAATGTATAAATTTTCTACGATGCACATGGATTTTTAAGACAAATTAGATATGTTTAAAGGAAAAGAAAGAACATGGCCACCTCTGAAATTGGCAGACACCCGGATGAAGCCACCTGCGCCAGAGGCTTGTGAAAATTCTCTTGCTCCCAAGATTCCAGCAGCCGCAGCTCCTGCCCCTGCCTTATTCTCTGGGCTTTGTTCCAACGAGGACTATTTTATCTCATGGCCAATTATAAATATTTATTCATTCCTGCAATACATATTTAATGGGCACCTACTATGTGCAAGTACTGTTCTATTTATACTAGGCAAATGGTGCGTGCAAGAATTAGACCTGGCCCCCTGCCCAAGCAGCCACACTTGAGGATGAAGATCAGAAGCAGGCTGCAGGTTCTGAAGAACCCTAGAAAGTCAGACCAAAGGGAACCTTAGCAGACTCCTCGACCAACCCCTCATTGTGCAGACAGGTAGAGTGAGTAGCTTACTAGACTCCAGCACGTCTAGACAAACCTGAATCGGAGGACCCTCAGGATAACAGGAAGATTTTTCATTATAAGCCCATGCAGTCAGCAGCCCAGTTGGGGTAGTCGATGTAGGATTTCCACATTCCAAGTGAACTCCTCCTCATCTTGCCAGTAAATCTGGAACTCTAAGAAAATACTCCCACTCTGAGTTTGAGCTCCCCACTTAGCTTGGTGTAATTTAACTGGTTTCTGCAACTTTCCTGGGTGCTATGAGAACCACTAGTCTCAGCTATAGGCTGGTTGGTCCGGGGGCTGTACTGAATAAGCCCAGACTGGGGGCATTCCAACTCTGCCTCTTAGGCCTTGGGGCAAAACGTGCCCCCCCCCACCCTGCCCGGCCTGTTTAAAATGCATATCCAGACACAACTTACAGTTGCTGAATTGCAGTCTTTGGAGGTGCAGCCCAGGAATCTGGGTTTTACAAGCACTCCAGAAGCCTGATATGCACAATACATTTTGAGAACCACTGCTCTGAGGCCAGACAACTGGGACTGGGACTGCTGGTATTTGTTTGCTCCCTTTCTCCTAGCAGTATCTTATTAGGAGAAATCTATCTAAATAAACCCAGAAGGGATCCTTCCCTTTCGCAAGGGCTCATGGGCTTAACCTTTGAATCCTCAGCACCTTCTGTGTTCAAACAGGGTAGGAGGGCAGCAGCCCCATACTTTCTTGCAGTTCTCAGGTCTGCAGAACTTTCCTCAGCCCTTCTGCCCCACCCCCTAGGGAGGGAACAGCAAAACCCAGTTATGAATAGGTCCTTTCTCAGGTCTGGCAGTGCTGAGGAGAGAAGGCCTTTTTGTTGGCTACAGCAGTTAGCATAAAAGGGCAGTGCTGGGTCTCAAAGCCAGACTTAATGAGAGCAAAGGAGGAGACGTCAAGGCCTTGGGGCAGGCCCCTGGGCTTTCTGTGCTGGTCCAGCTACTTCATTATCTGCCATGTTATATAAAAAGCCCAACCCATGGGGCGCCTGGGTGGCTCAGTCGTCAAGCATCTGCCTTCAGCTCAGGTCATGATCTCAGGGTCCTGGGATCGAGCCCCGCATCGGGCTCCCTGCTTGGCGGGAGGCCTGCTTCTCCCTCTCCCAC